CCATCATCATCATCATCAGATCGACGACCGGCCGGCGTCCACTAAGACTAACACAATCATTGGCCGGCCGACGAGCGAGCCCCTGAGCTCCTCATTGATTCATCAATCTCTGCGTGCGTGCGTGCGTGAGCCTCATCCGGTCAATTGACCGCCCGCCCGCGAGCCAGCTAGTTAGCTCAACAATTTGGATCGCAAGCAACGAGATAATTGATAGTACTTGTAACAAGGACCACCAATTAGTAGACAGTGTAAAGACGAAATGAAACAGCATCGATTGATCTTGCATGTTTGTTCTTCATCAAGGGGCCTCACTCACTCACTCAAAATCAAAGCACCAGGTAGGAACTAGGACAGATTTATAATTGAAATGAAGCTAGCTGCACAAATTTAAGTCTCGGAAGGAGTACTAGGAAACAACAGAGCAAAATGGAGCTCCCGAGCTAGCTAGCTAGTAATGGTGGCTGACTCTGACGCGACTGCTAGCTAGCTAGCTAGATTACCTTGTGGTGGTGGTGGTGGCGCTCATGGCTGATGTACTGTACACACCCAATTCGCAGTGGGGAAAAAACATCAAGAAAGTAATTAAGCAAGCAGCAACAAGAAGAAGAAGAAGAAGAAGAAGAAGAAGAAGAAGAAGAAGAAGAAGCGGCTAAGATTATGTAGGCTGGGATGGATGGAGAGCTCGGCTAGGCGGAGAAAGGGGGAAGAAATGTACGCCGGTACGTAGCTACAGCAGCAGTGGAAAGAAGAAGCAAACGATTGAAAGAATGTGGCGGCCGGCCTGCCGGAGGTGGCCGGCAGGTCCTAGTAGTCGCGCCAGCAGACGAGCATGGAGACGCAGCGGCGGACGATGTAGAAGCGCGCGCGGTGCTCCTTCACCGCCTCCACGCACTTCTTGGACAGCCGCCTCCTTGACTCGGCCTCCTCCTTCTTCTGCTGCTCCGACGACGAGCTCCCGCTTCCGCTGGCGCCGGCGCTGCCGTCCCGGGTGGCGGTGACGCTGGCCGAGTAGCTCCGGCTCAGGCCCCCGCCGCTGGTGCTGGCCCCGGACCCGGACGCGTCGCCGTAGTAGTAGTTCCGGCCCGATCTGCTCCGCCCCTTCTTGGACAGCTTCCACTTGTCGTCCCCCTCCATGCTTCCAACCTAGATCAGCCCTGCCGCCGCCGCCGCCGGCGACTTAGACGTAAATGCAGGCGGGTCGGTGGAGACGGATGGATGGAGTGGACAGTGCGCGTGGAATGAGCAGAGCGAGCGATAGAAGAAGAAATGGAGCGGGCGAGTGAATCAATGAATGGTGTGCTAGCTGCAGAGCAGAGCAGGGAGTGAGGGAGTGGGAGGGAGTGGGAATGGGGCCGCCCTGTCTCCTCCCCCTCCTCAGCTCAGCTCAGCTGGCTTCGCCTCGCCTCGCTCCCAAACAAACCCAACCCGACCCCGACCCCGACCCCAACCCTTCGACGGATGGAAGACAACTCCTCCAACCAGGCACCAGCTCAGCTCAGCTCACTCTCACTCACTCACTGTGCTTGGCCGCTACCGCCATGAAAACGCAAACGCAGAGTACATTCCGTCTGGCGTCTGTGACCGATGGATCGATCGATGGTGGCGGTGGAAGTGGAACCCCGTGGCCCGTCGGATCCACCTGCCCTGCCCTGAACCATCTCGAGACGGAAGAAAAGCCGCCGCAGATGGTGCTGCTGGTGCTGGTGCAGACGCCTACGCGCCTCTAAAAATTCCGTTGGTACCTGTTGAATATCTTTTGTATAGGCAGTATATCGCATGTATATGTAGGATCATTTCCTACCTTGCCCCGCCTCCTAGTTACCATGTATAGTCGAGGCCGTGGGCTGCTCATTGTAAATATATACTTGCGTGTATGCACCCAAATCAATTGAGAGTCGCATTGCCAAACAATATGGTATCAGTTTTCCTCACACGATCCTCTTCCTAAACAGCTTCCGCTCCTGCTGCCGCCGCGCCCTAGGCTGCCGCCGCCGCATCACCGCCGCCGCCGCCCCCTAGCTGCGCCGCCGCCGCCGCTTCTTCTCCCTGCCGCTGCTTCCCCTCCAGCCGCACCACCACCTTCCCTCTCCCACCCGACATCGCCATGGCCTCACCCGCCTCCTCCGCATCCGGTTCCGTCGTCCCCAACCCCTTCGCTGGCCCCGATCCCGTGCTCATCCGTGATCTTGACATCCACCGCCGTGTCCCCGTGTGCCTTGACTACTCCACCTCCACCTACTATGCCTGGAAGACCTATTTCTCTCTAGTGTTCCGCGAGTATCATCTCCATGATCACGTCGACGGTTCCGTGGATTCCAGCCTCATGCTCGGTGATGTAGAGTGGACGACCATCGATGCTACACTCATCCGGTGGTTCTACCTCACCATCTCCAAGGATCTCTTCCACACGGTGGTCAGCGACAGGGATGACGCCCTCGCCGTTTGGACCAAACTCAACGGGCTCTTCACCGACAACCAACTCCAACGCCGGATTTTTCTTCAACAAGAGTTTTTTGGGTCGCATCAACTTGATTCCTCTGTCGATGACTATTGCATGCGTCTCAAGAAACTTGCAGATGAGCTCCGTGATCTCGGCGAAATCATCTCCGACGATCTCCTCCTCAGCACCCTCTCCGCCGGGCTCAATGAAGAGTTTGGCAACGCTGCCTCCAACCTCACCTTGATCCCGGAGCCAACCTTTGCCAAGGTTGTGGCTTACTTGCGTCTGGAGGAACGTCGCATGAAGATGGCGAAAACTAGGGCGACCCACGTCGCCCTCGCTGCCGGGACCTCCCGCGGCGGCCCGCCCCCGCCGGCTCCACAGGCGCCCGCCGCGCCGCGGTTCCCTCCTCCGGCGGCCTCCTACGGGCCGTACCCGCCACCACCAGCGGGCCACTTCCAGGGGCCGCCACCCCCGCCTGCCTCCTCCGATCGCCGCCGTGGTGGGCGTCGCGGTCGCAAGGGAAACGGCCAGGGGGCCAGCCTCGTCAGCAGCAGGCCACCGCGCCCTGGGCGGCGGCCCAGAACCCGTGGACGGGCCTGGTTCATGCGTATAGCATGCCGGTGTCCCGCCCGCCCGCTCCTGGCCTTCTGGGGCCACGTCCCGCAGCGCACCAGGCGCTGATCGCCGCGCCACAGGCGCCGTACGCCGCACCATCTCCAGGCGCCTACGCCATGGCGCCCTACACCGCGCCGCCGCCGGTGCCCTATGCCGCGGCGCCATATGCCGCACTGCCACCGTCGGCGCCGCCGCTCCCGCCGGCTCCATGGGATCCAGCTCTTCTCGCGGCGCTCCAGTCCGCCCCCTCACCAGCCAACTACACGGGTGGCGGCGATTGGTACATGGATAGTGGCGCCACCTCTCATATGGCTGCCAACCCCGGTACTCTCCACTCCTCATATCCTGTTCATACCTCCAATCGTATTACTGTTGGCGATGGGTCATCTCTTCCTATCACGCACATAGGCCATGCTTACTTTCCGTCCACATCTACACTGATTTCATTATCTAACATACTTGTCTCTCCCGAACTCATTACTAATCTTGTTTCCGTTCGTTCCCTTACTCGTGATAACCCTGTCACCGTTGAATTTGACATGTGTGGTTTTTCTGTCAAGGACGCCCGTACCCGGATGGTGCTCCACCGATGTGATAGCCCCGACGAGCTCTACCCAGTCCACCCACCCGCCTCCACCTCCACCTCTCCGGTCGCCCTCTCCGTCGGTGTGGATCTTTGGCACGCTCGCTTGGGACATCCGAACGACACCACCCTTCGTCATATTCTTCGGAGTTTTTCTTTCACTTGTAATAAAACCGACGGTCACACTTGTCATGCGTGTCGTCTAGGCAAACATACTCGGCTTCCTTTTAGCACTTCCTCGTCAGTTGCATCGTATCCGTTTGAACTACTTCATAGTGATGTGTGGACTTCTCCAGTTGCGAGTAATACCGGCTACACCTATTATCTTGTCATTTTAGATGACTTTTCGCACTATGTGTGGACCTTCCCGTTGCGGCGGAAATCCGATGTCATATCCATTCTCACCGCCTTTTACTCCTATGTCACCACCCAGTTTGGTCACCCCATCCACGCTATCCAAACCGACAACGGGAAGGAGTTGAACAACCTCGCGGTTCGCACCCTCCTCACCACACATGGCACGATATTTCGTCTCACTTGTCCCTATACCTCGCAACAAAATGGGCGCGCAGAACGGGTCTTACACACTCTTAACGATTGTGTCTGCACCTTGTTATTTCACGCTAATGTGCCACCCCGCTTCTGGCCCGATGCACTTGCCACCGCATCACGCCTCATCAACATTCGGCCTTGCCGCGTCCGCGGCAACTTTGCACCACACCACTTGCTTTTCGGGAGCCCCCCATCCTATGACGATCTTCGCATCTTCGAGTGCCTCTGCTATCCCAGCATCGCCTCTACCACCCCTCATAAGCTCGCTCCTCGCTCTCTTGTGTGCATCTTCTTGGGTTACCCTGCCAACACCAAGGGCTACCGCTGCTACGACCCTGTTTCTCACCGTGTCTTCACCTCTAGACACGTTTACTTTGACGAAAGGGTTTTTCCGTTTCAGCAGGTACCACCGACCGACTCGCCAGCGTCTTCACCTTCTGCTACTGGTGGCTCGGTCTCGGGCCTCCTTGGTGCGCCCCCGCGCCCTCGGGCCTCCCTCGGGCCGCCTCCTGGTTTCGGCCCCCTCCCCGCCTTGCGGGCTGCCGGCTCGGCGGCTGCGGCTTCGGAGGGTTCGGCGCCCCGCTCGGCGGCTGCGGGATCGGCCTCGGGCCCAGTCCCCTCGCCCGACGCCGCAGTGTCCTTGACGTCCTCCGCGACACCCGTCGCCTCGGCGCCTTCCTCGCCCTCCGCCGGGGCCCCCACGTCGGGCTCTACAGCGACCTTGCCCCAGACGCCCGCCTCCGACTCACCGGCGGGCTCGGCTGAGGGCTCTCCGCCGGCCTCTCCAGCGCCTGCGTCGCCCGGATCCGCGCAGGGATCTCCTGCGCCCTCGGCCGGCTCGGTCTCGGCGGGCTCTTCTTCATCCTCGCCCGCCGCACCGGCCCCGCCGCCCTCCCGCATGGTGACTCGTGCCCGGACCGGTGCGCTCCGCCCGAGCCAGTGGTACTCTGCCGACGAGTACCTGCTTGCGGCCTCGGTGCCGTCCACCTCAGCTCCTTCTCCCCTCCCATCGTCGGCTCGAGCGGCTCTTCGAGACCCTCATTGGCTCGCCGCGATGCAGGAGGAGTTCGACGCACTTCAGCGTAACCGCACCTGGCAGTTGGTGCCTCGGCCGCCGCACGCTAACGTGATCAGCGGCAAATGGGTCTTTCGGCATAAGACCCGGCCTGACGGGACCCTTGAGCGCTACAAGGCTCGGTGGGTCGTTCGTGGTTTCCGTCAGCGCGCCGGTGTGGACTTCACCGACACCTTCGCCCCGGTTGTCAAACCGGGCACTATCCGCACTGTCCTCCAGCTGGCGGTCTCCCGCGCATGGCCCGTCCACCAGATGGACGTCTCCAACGCATTCCTTCATGGCCATCTCGCCGAGCAGGTCTACTGTCAGCAGCCCATCGGCTTCGTCGACGCCACTCAGCCGGATCATGTGTGCCTGCTCTCGCGCTCACTCTATGGGCTCAAGCAGGCTCCTCGTGCTTGGTACCAGCGGATCGCTGCCTTCCTTCAGCAGCTTGGCTTCGTGGCCACCCGCTCGGATGCCTCTCTATTCGTCTACCAGCACGCCATTGGGACGGCTTACCTGCTGCTCTACGTCGACGACATCATCCTGACTGCTTCCACGACTGAGCTTCTCCGACAGCTCACGGCTCGCCTCGGCACCGAGTTCGCGATGAAGGACCTCGGTCCTTTACACTACTTCCTCGGGATCGAGGTAGTGCGTCGTGCGGACGGGTTCTTTCTTCATCAGCAGCAGTACGCCCAGGAGTTACTCGAGCGCGCCGGCATGCTTAATTGTAAGCCCGCACCTACGCCTATCGACACGAAGGCTAAGGTCTCCGCTCTTGAAGGCACCCCGGCGCAGGATGCCGCCTTTTACCGGTCCATTGTTGGGGCCCTGCAGTACTTGACGCTCACTCGTCCCGACCTACAGTACGCGGTTCAGCA